GTGGCCTGAAGTCTCAGACTGTGCAGTTTAAAGTCCTGATGAATCCACTGACATCTGGCAAAGTTCTTTTTCCTTGACGTGACGCAAGTTTATTTAGCCAAAGAGAAGTCATTGAAAGCGAAGTGGAAGCTGACTCGGCCCTACAGCTAGGTATGACAAAACCAGAAAAGCCATCCTCAGTCATGAGCTGGTAGATCTAATTCAGAAATGCCATAAATCACATTATAAAGGACACATGAGCAAGTGCTTCTTGTAGCTTCTGTGCCATGGAGAGTGAGTTAGATGGTAGTAGCAGCAGCAGAACTTATACAGCTCAAGACAGGATAAATTTAACTGCACAATCCTTCCGCATAAATTTCTTACTATAACCTTCCTTTCTACCTTGGGCTCCCAAGCTTGTTCCTCCACCTTTACATTGGCTCAGTGATCTATTTCCAACCCCCCTCCTCCTTTTAGCTCACTTCTGAATTTAGCCCATTTTGCCAGGCTGCCAGGGAGCGATGCAGAGGAAGTTGGGCAGCCTCCTTAAAGGCTCACTCACATTTCAGGGACACATGCCATTGCTGTGCATGCAGAACATGCCGTTGTGCTTGGGAAACGGAAAATTGTGAGTGCACATAAAAATCACTCATAGACCATCGCATCCCTTCTCAACTCCTCTACTCCAACAGAACACTGCACACCTTCAGAGACCTACTAATTAAAAATGAGGTTGGAGATGGGAAGATAGTAAGAGGAAACCAACATTCAAGTAGTGTTTCAGCCTGAAGGTACTGCCCGTGAAAGACTGAAGGCTCAGTCTCAGAAGAGCTGCAGGTTAGGCAGCAGCCATGCAGACTACCCTGCACACGCCTTCTGATGTCTCTGACTTTGCCTGCAGATATCTCCTCCAAAGTCAGGGTAGGTTCCACATCTATTCACCTTCCTCTTAGTTTACCCTATTATCAGGAGTGAAGGTTTGGTGATATGGACTCTTCCCTCCACGAAACAACACAGGCTCCTGAACAGCTGTCAGGTAACCAGGATGTGGCTTACCAGCTTGGCTCCAAATCAATCCAGTGACTTTCTTTGTATTTAAATCTTACTTGCCTCGGGGAATCCAGTCCTTCAAATGCATCCTCTTGTGCATGTGTGCACACACAATGCACACAAAGTAAAAACTACCTGGGAAGATGACCCAGTCTCTCCCCTGCTGATGCAAATCAGTAACAAAATCCATCTTAAATAACTGGTTGACAAAGTTAGGGTCCAGGTGAGGAAATGAGCCTAGAGAGAGATGCTTGCACACTGTTCCAGCAGATGCATCTGGACTGATTCTGAGAGTGACGGACACTGTGGTAGCAATCAGATATAACCTATCTCTAGGCTGAGAGGCAGAACACGGTTCACACTGTGAGCACATATCCAAAGATACAGGTACAAAAGCAACAGCTTCTGGAACCTCGAGCCACACTGTTCATGGATTGTGGTTGCAACCACATAAATTGAAGAGCCAGTGTTGATCTTCAACTTACCAGCTGTAAACTCCTGGGTGTGACTGCAGGGAGGCACCCTAAGAATTTAATTTCATATTGTCCCCTTCATTTTTTTTTGCTGTGCAATCTGATTAAACATACACCGCATGTTGTTTAAGCGTCTGGCTGACCCCCTTCATATGGCAGCAAAGAGACTCCTCTTATATTTAGAAGCCCTCTTCTAGGGTTACATATCAAGATACGTGCACACTGCTGTTTTGCAGAATGCAGCTGCCCTGTAAGAAGCGAAAGATGCTAACATGATCCAGGAGCTGAGGCCAGCAATTTCAAGTTTCCATCTGTCTCTGCCTGTAAGACATGCAGGAAGGAAAAGAGAACTGGATTTCAGGCATTAGTTGGTGCCTTCAGCATGCAGGAAGACTGCATCAAAAAAAGGAAGCCTTGAGCAGCTTTGTGGAAGGAAGACTCTTGTTCACCTGCCCAGGACACAGATGCTGAGCTGAAATACGTTTTCCCGCCCCCCCCCCCGCCATTTCATGCAATAACATCATTCAGAGCATACATATGACAGCTCTTTTTTTTTTTTCCCCCAGCAAAAAATGGTAGGTGCAACGCAGAATAATAATGGGCCAAATCCAAACCTAGATGCATGACAATGAAGAACAGGTAATTTCCAGAGACTGTCACAGATAATTAAATTTGTTTATATGCCCCTCAAAATATAAAGCAGGCAGCAATTCCTCAGTCAGACAACTGCATTCTGCCTTCCACACCCACTGCTGTCACCAGGGGTCTTGCTGATTTGGGCAGTAAGATGTCATTTAGCTTCCCCTATGTTTGATACCTCACTTTGTATGGGTCTGTCACACAACAGAATGATTTGGTTGTACAAGGACCATATTCATTTCCAGCACAAGCTGTGTTTGACTGCATTTCTCAAACATGGTTGAAAATTTATGTAAACATAAATAAATGAAGAGAACTGACACCAGTACATTAGTAAAGCAAAAATAAGATTACCTATGACATAGAAGCACTAAAGAACATTAGAGGAATTGCTGCATTCTCCCCTGTCTGTCACATTAAGTGGTTTAATATAAAGCCTTTATTTTTATACCGATCAATAGCACTGTAAGGTAGCAACATTTATCTTCAGAAGCACTGAAGACGCAATGGCTCAATTCTCAATTATATTAAGAGCAAGACTTCAAAGATATTTATGAGCATCAAGATGCAAGTTAGAATTCCAGTATGGTTTTCAAAAGCATCTGAACAAGTCAGGTGTCTAGCTCCTATTGATCTAAATCCTTGTTAGGCACTTTCAAAAAATACTTCCAAGTTGCCTATCCCTATCCTCTAGTGTCCAAATAACTTTGGAAATCTTTCTCCCCTCTCACACCACTAGCTGTGGTTTAGTTTACAGCACTGGACTTTAGTATTTTGCAGAAGGATGAAACTTTTTGTACACACTTTGACTTTTAGTACACTGACGTAGAAAACTATTACTACAGCAATGCAATGGGGTTTACTTTGATGCCAGCAATTCAAGGTGGTGGAAATCTGACCTCTGTCAGATTTCTGTCTCTCAGACTGCTGAGAGACCTCCTTTGGTGATCTCATTTGACAGCTTTCCCCTCATGGTAGGAAAGCCCCGAAAAGACCACCGAGGGACCATTTTGAAAAGGCCTCAACACTCCGGATGCTATTTTGAAAATGAAGCAAAGAGCCTGCCTTGCTCGTATTTTGAGCATTAACTGATCTCTAGCAACTTCTGCATGTACTAGCTACAGTACAGACTGGTTGTATAGTATCACGTAGGCCAGAAATCCTGGTTTTGCTTTGATTCACTTTATTCTGAAACTGTCCAAGGGGTTAGAAAAAGGGATATTACTCTTTAAAATAGAAGAGGCAAAAAAACTTAGGAAAGACACTTCCCACATACCAGAATGAACATGAATTAAAAGTAATTTTATTCCACTTCTCAATGACAGTTCTATCATATCTGGTAATAAGGCAAGCTACTAAAAGTCCCACAAGACATATCAGACCATTGAAATAGGATTCAAAAACCAAAGAGGAGTTCACAGAACAGCCAATTCTTGGGATCATCAAATTCAGTGGCAAGACTCCCATGTGGACAAATTCGATTAGTGTAAATGCTGAAGAAATCAACTGATTTCACCAGTGTTCGTGAAGTTTTATACTGGAGTAATTAAGGATAGGCGATGCATCACTGACTTCAATGAAAAACAGAATTTGGCAGAAAGAAAAGCAAAAAAGCACATTAAAAGTATAATATCAAGGCACAGAAAATACATGCTACTTCCAGGCATATGCTTTAACAGGTAAAGGTTTCTGGGAGATTATTATTATTTTCAATAGGTAGCTGTACTCCTGCCAGGCATGATTCTTTTCTCACTTGCACCTGCAAAACTCCCATGCATTTCTGGGTAGTCGGTCCAGATTTATGTTAGTGCAAGGAGAGTAAGTGTAAGTTGGCATAGCTTGCTTGAAGATGTAGTAACAATTAAAGCAAATGGAGCAACAACCACTGAAGATGTAGCCATCTGTCTTAACGCTCACCAGAGTTTACTCCTTTTAACATGGAGTATTTGTGTGACAAAACATTCTTTCAAACAGTTTTCAGCTAATAAAAAACAGCTGTCCCGTGCTAAATTTTCATGGGGTATCAAGAAACTGCAGTAATTTAGAGGCCATCAGTTCTGTAATCTAAGGCTGTTCACTGAGTAATATCTCGGGATTGGCAAGAGTCTATGTAATGTCAGTAAGGGTACAAAAGTCTGTCCATCTGTAACTGCATTGATATATAGACTATTCATAGCAAGATGAGAAGATGAACTAAACAAAAAAAGACATGAACAAAGCAGAACACAATGAAACTATGACTTGCTAGAGGAACAATAACAAAGGGATGAAGAAGAACATCTATTTAAAAAGATCTTTTGTCAGATAAAAAAAACAGGAACTTTTTACATACGTGAAGTTTAAAGAGGAAAATACGATCAGTGCAACTTTAATGCAGGACTGGAGCTAAGTCAAAGGAGTTCAACAATGAAAGACAACAAAACAAAACAAAAAACATTAAGAAAAATATGGATGCTATGGAAGAAGAGTCTCTTAATAATCAAGTGACTGAAATCGGTCCCAGGTGGTTAAAAATCCAAGGTAAAGACCTAAAAGCTGAGGATGACAGAAGAAAGCAGCCGCCGAGTCAGAGTACGCCCACAGCATTATAAAATCACATAGCAGGATAAAATCACAAACCCATGGTTATGATTGTGTTGAGACTATTTCAAAGGAATAAAAAAAATCCTTAATGGCCTGATCCAAAACCCACTGGAGGCAACAGGAGTTCTTCTGCTAGCTTCAGCAGACTGTGCATCAGATCTTACACTGTGCACTATAAACAGTCTAGACATATTGGCTTTGTCTGGCTAGGGTCAGCCAGGAAACATCATGGATCCAGCATACATTCAATGTAAATGAGAAAGAAAAGGGAAGGAAACATCATGGATCCAGCATACATTCCATGTAAATGAGAAAGAAAAGGGAGTTGTTAGGGCAAGATCTCATTATACATTAGGGTAAAAGAGAAAATGCTGCTTTATACTGAGATTCCTTATAAATAAATAATTTTGAAAACCTGGTCACGCCATGCTGATTAACTAACTGGACTACCAGTTCATCCACCAGCAACATGCCTCTGCAGACTTGTAGGGTCAAATGTAACAGTCTGGAATGAAGGGTTTCCTTCTCTTCTTCTTTTTCCCCTCCTGAGATTTACATGCTGATATCCTCCAAGTGCAGTCCTGGTCTTCAGATAGCATGCTGCAAGGACACAGAAATATGTATTTTTAAGGGAGGACAAGACAGAGAGTTTGCCTTGTGAGTTTAAATTATTAATTCTACAGATCTAATGGATACATTATGCCACATTAGTGGCAACTTGTTCTCTTAACAAACATCCCTCTAGGTTAGTGGTTCAATACAGTTCTGAATCAAACAGCTACATTTCTAATGGTCATCTGTCAAGCTGAACTGAATATTTAAACTGGGTTACCTGAATCAATGCTAGTTAGGATCTTTCATTGCCAGGAAATGGGCTCTTATTTGACAAAGTTTCATGAGGTCAACAGCATCTCTGCTTCGTTGAAGTGGTACATAAAACAGTAAGGCAAGAACAATACTTTCAGCAGTAGACAACTTGGTAAATACGACAGCAATACATGACAGAGGTTTTAAAAGGGCTGGGTAACTTCTCTTGTGCATCTGCATTAGGAGAGGAAAGATCTGAGAAATCCCCTCAAATTCTTGTATTGGGGGTGGGTCTCAGACATTACCCATGGATGTACCGATCTGAGATTCACTGGCTTGACCCTGGACGCTGGGCTCTCTGCTGGAGTCCTGAGATATCTTTTCTGTCAAGCAGCTACCTTTTAGCAGCTCCTTAAAGAGGGATCTAGGACATGAGGCACTAAACAGTAAATATATCCTGCAGACAGCATTAACTCCTTTGTTGATTGTCTCTTGGACACTACTCGGAACTCCAATGGTCAGAATCTGTTATGGGGACATTTCCTCCATGCACAGATGAAACAACTGGGCCAGAATTTTTAATATGGTTTGCTAAGGAAATTAGGCTGATGTAATCACATTGCCTCTGTGCATCTACACGTCTGCCCACTGTCAGCCTCTGAGCTGACTGAACACATTTGATAGACAGGTAGAGGACTTGAAGTTCTTACATTTTTACAAATCCAGTAAAAAGAGGTAGGGTATCAAGGAGATAATCAGATAATCTACCCTTACTGGTAGAAAAGCAGCAATATGAGCTCACCGGCTAGGTGGACACCAAGAATTCATGTGGGTAAATGACAATAGGAATGCCCTGACTTCACACTTTGTGCTCTACCAGTTACTGGCAGGTCAATCCCTGCAGCAAAAAGCAGGTAGTCTTCCCCAACTCTTTTTTTTCTATGGTAAGGTACAGAGAACAGGATTGGCAATGTAAAGATCTGGAGGCTGTCTGTGTAACTCCTGCCATCGTACTGGCCCTCAGTTTATTCTGTCTCTGAGAGAGAGACAGTCACTCAGTGAAATGGCTGCAAAGGCTTTTAATAGCCTCAGGAAGGGGACAGCAGAGAGATTAAAAATAATCTTGCGTGCCTTTTTTGCCTGAAGAATTATTTATAAGTTAGTAAGAAAAATGTATGTATACATCTGTCCCTGGTGCACAGACTAAATGTTTACTCCTTTTCCTTCTACCAGTAATTACCAATGTTGCATTACTGCACATATGCTTGATTTAAGACCCTACTGATTATGAAACAGTATAAGCTAGTACTTTCTGCACAGCCTGGCTGTCTCTCTGTCTTCCTTTGAAGCCATGCTGACAGGCGGTATTGCTGTGACTTCCTTGGCGTGAAGTTCTAGATCAAGTGAGATTAAAGAAGGGGTCAGAAGTTCACGCACCTCTATGAGAGCATTAAAATATCATAATGGTTTGCATGAAATTCCAAAGTCACTGAACACGACTACCCTTCTCACATAAGTTATTACCAGAAGATAATTCTACCCTGCCTGTGGCCCTAGGGTTCAAGATAAACAAAGACAATGAACTTTTGATGTGAATGAAAAAAGTCTTGGACACTGGTCCACTGGCAGGATTTTCTTGCATTCCTTTCCTTCAGTACTTTGGCTACCCTTCCTCAGACCAAAACTGTCGCTATCTCAGCCAGAGCTCTACAGAAAAGCTTGTGTCTTTACTTCACTCTAACACCTCTTATTAGTTCTCCACATTTCTACTGGACTTACTCCTACTTGCCTAGACTGCAGAGAACCACTAGAGAGGTGCACAAAAGACATGGGCCTTATATGATATGCTTTGTGGTTCAGTTGGGAAGCAAAACTCACGTGAGCAGCATTGTCAAGCGTCACTCAGACATATGCTTTGGTTCAGTTGGGAAGCAAAACTCACGTGAGTTCTAGTTCTGCCCTGAGCAGCATTGTCAAGCATCACTCAGATGCTAGAGATAGTCTAAAAGTATGTGCTGTAAGAAGCTGCATATTGTTTCAGACTAGTAACAGGCTACGCAGCAAACCCAGCAATGGAGTAAGAATGCATGATTCCCATGGTAGAATATGACATGTTAAGTTCAGTTGGGAAGCAAAACTCACGTGAGTTCTAGTTCTGCCCTGAGCAGCATTGTCAAGCATCACTCAGATGCTAGAGATAGTCTAAAAGTATGTGCTGTAAGAAGCTGCATATTGTTTCAGACTAGTAACAGGCTACGCAGCAAACCCAGCAATGGAGTAAGAATGCATGATTCCCATGGTAGAATATGACATGTTAACCCAGTTAAGAACAGGGTTTAGGATACCTGGGGTCTCCTTCACTTAACTAAGGAGGTTCCAGCCCAGGATTATGTTTCTCTGAATCTGCCAGTGGGACTCAAGTGAAATCCAAAGACACCAAGCGTCTTGTGTTATCAAAAAGCAGAACAAAACAGAATTTGGAATCTGCTCCAAAAATTTGGAGACTGCTCTGAAAACACAGAGTGTGAACTACTGGAGAACCCTCATTCACTGACAAAATTATTAGCTTTTGCTGATCAAAATACTTAGCAAGAGACAGGAAGGCTGACTCCAAATCCATTCAAGTCAGTAGAAAGGCTACCAACAAGCTTCATGAAGGAGCATAAGCATAGTGGTACTGGGTCAGAGCAAACAGTGATCTTCGCAGCATCCCATCTCTGACAGTGACATGTTACAAATGCCTAAAGGAGCTGTATAAGAAAAGGCTAAGTCCAGGGTGATATTTCTCCCTTTACTGCCTTCCAGCTCTGGCAACCTGCAGCTTAGAAACTTCCTGAGCCCAAGATTATATCTGCATCTTTGCATTTAAGCTTTTTTTGTAACTTCACTTGTTGCTGTTTCAAATAATTTGTATTTTTGGTATCCACAGCAACCAGAAGGAGTAAGTCCAACAGCTGCATTGTATGTCACGTGGAAAAGTACCTCCTTCTTGTTTAAAGCTGCTTTCCTCTGATGCCCCTTTAGCTCATTCATAAGAGACAACAAATAATCCCTCTTTATTTCACTGCTGCCTTTAACTACCGATTCCTAAGTCTTTCTTTCCCAAGCTAAAGAGATAGTGCCTATTTTGTCTTTCCACATATGAAGGTTTTTTCATACCTTGCAGCCCTTCTCTTTGGTTTTTTTTGCGTGTGTATACACGTCTTTCTTAAGACAAGGACATCAGAACGAGAAGCAGGATTCAGGATGTGGTTCACAGCTGAGTGTCACCTGTCATTAGGTCTCTTGCCATTTACTCTCTAACCAGGCATATTACAGCAGATTAAGCCCACATGCAGGCTAGGGCGCACAGCTCTGCACTGTTTCAGTTCGTAGTGGTGTCTCCTTATGGAAGACAAATATGTCCCTTTTCTCACTGCAGTTCTTGATGGACAACACGCCTTTGGGCACATATGCAGGGCTAGACTCAGTGGTGACACAAATACTGGTTTAAGTTACATCTGAGCAAGCAGTGGAAGTGTAATTCAGCATTCAGGACTGACAAGGTAGGAGTGCAGGAGAAGCTGACAGGAGAGGGTAAAAGTTACAGAATGGAGTAAGAATAAATTTGGCCTAGTGTGGAATGGGGGACAGCCCTGTTTCAGCACACATCACAGCTTAACGCTCAGTGATTCCTCAGCATAATGAGGAACATGCCAGTTTATATTGATCAAGACAGACAAGTTTTATTGCTGGGCTGTTAACTCCAGTGATGCAAGTGACAGCTTCCCCTTTGTCTACATTCAGGGCCACAACTGCGGAAGGTAGATGGTTCCCAAGTGTTGGTTGGGCCCTGTTCCAGGCTATATATATATGTATCACTATATATCTTAATGTATGTTTGCTAAAGATAACATGCCAGTATCAAAGATAAATGAGGCTCTCCAAGGCAGCAGTAGAAGCCCAGAGTTGGCTTAGCACCGAGTAAATCTTCTAAATGAAAAGTCAAGGCTGCTTCTTCCATGCAGACGTAGGTGTAGCCTGCTGTTATTCCTGTGCTACCATTGCTCTGCAACTGAATAAACCAAAGAAGGCATGCAAGGAAGCTCGGGGTTCAGAAGTAGGAATTTTCTGAGAAATGAAAGGGTCTTCCTCTTCCTGAGACTATCAGTATTACTGGGGGTATAATGACACTGTTTGTTCAAAGCAGGAATTTCTTGCACTTCCTCCCTCTGCAGCTTCTACCATTTCTACCCTCTGCACTCCTGACTAGACGTTTTTCTCCTGGCTGAGGCATGTGGAGTACCATGGGAGCCCTCCTCAGCTCTGCTTAAAGCACAGGACTTAACCCCTTTCCTAAGCAAGACGGAACGCATGGTAGGTTTGGGTACTGAAAAGCCAGAAAAGGAGATGTGGGAACCAATGGATAACTTTGGTTGGAATTTTTAATAGGGCATGTGGGTTTTGATACTCAGAGGCTACTGAAATTCAGCAAGTTAGGCATGAACCTAACCTGACCTCATTGAACTGGTCTTCCAGAAATACCATTCATAGAGATGAAATTACTTTTCAGTGAATGCTGAAGGAATCCAGGTCTAGAGACGGAGAAGTATTTGAGTGTTCAATTCACAGTAGTTTCAATGAGAGATGCTCAAGAGCAGCAAAGAAGGTTTTTAGCAATTAAGTTGTGAGATTGCACAGAAGGAGACCCAGAAACTCTGCTGAAGACAGCAAGGGACTGCTTGGGACTATGCAACAGTGGTGGTGTTAAGCCATGGGGCACCGTCCCCAGAACTGCTGGAGCAACTGCCTGGCATATTGGATGCCTTGACCCAGATGGAGCTTCGGAAGGAGGATGTAGCTGTCCAGGCAGGGAGTGCCTGCTGCCTGTCTTTGGGGCTGGGATGTTGGTGGCCTCTCTGGTGGGAGCTGTACTCTGACTGAAGCACTGAGTCTCCAAGGAAAAGGGCTTCAGGAGGAGGTGAGCAGACTGCAGAGCATCAGGGTGTACAAACAGGAGACCAACAGGGTCTTCACAGAGACTTTGGAGAGGGGAGTGCCTGAGCTCCACAAAGCAAAGGATGAACAACTAAAGACTATACTTGAACAAGACCTGAATGGAGACTTCCATGATGGGGAAGATCTGAAGTTTGCGACTTCTGGCACGAAGATCTGCATTTCCAAGACATGTGTAGCCAGCCCACTGGGAGAATGTGAGGAGTTGTTTTAAAGGAGACTTCAGAGCCAGCTGAGCCTTAACCAAGTTTATGTACCAAGAGGAAAAGTTGTGTAACAATTGATAGAGATTCCCTCCTGCCAACCTGACTTGGATGTCTCAGGTTCGTTGCTTTCCAGAAGTGCAGACTGGGACGTTGTGCAAGAACTCCCAAGGCTCATTCAGCCCTCAAACTCATTACACCCTGCACCTTTGATACCGTCAGCAGAACCATGGATAAATCAGAATGAGCTAGTGAAATTTATCAAAGGGTTTATGAATACTCAAGTAACACCCTTTGTGAGAAGCTCTAGCAGCCATGGGAGAACAGATAAAGTACTAACACAGATTAGAAATGAGATGGTAGGATGATAAACAACAAACTCTAGGGAGAGACACATAAGACTATGGAAGAATACAAGGGGGTACTCCCAGTGCTAATTTGCAGTGAGACTTGTTATCCTTTGAAGACCAAAAGAAGCCACAAGGAATGCCAGCAGGAGCAACTGGGTAATACGGCAGCTGATGAATTCAAGTGGATAAAACACACAGTAATGAATCCTGGAAGGGTCAAGCTTTTCATACATATTGCTGAAGTCTAAATTAACTTTCAGGAAAAATGCATGTGTAGGTCATGGAAACATCAAATCTGTGCCTAATGGTAATCAAATAAATCAGTTACGGGGCTGACTGTCATATTATTCCATTAAGGCTATTTTGTACTACCTTACTAATACTGAAGCATATATATTAAAGTTAGCACAGAATTAATTTACACTCACTTCACATTAGCAGAGTGCAAAGTGGCTGTTAGTAAATAATCATGACCAAGGTACAAATGGATGTGAGATAACTGCACGGAGCATGCAATGTCATCCACACCAGTGGCATGTCAAACTCAAAGACAATTTAGCATAAAATATAAATGTCCAAGAGTAAGGCAACAAAGGGGACTCGGGTAAGCATGGAGGAGGGTAGAAAGGCCAGTTGGGTGCTCCTGTTAACTCATTTTCACATCAGAAGAATAAAGAAGATTGTTGCTTCCATCAAACACTTTCTTAGAAGCAAGGGCTCTTTGGAGGGTGACAGGTGAGAGGGAGAAAGGGAGTAATAAAGAGACTGGAAAGCCAGAGAGCAGGGCGAATCCAGTAAACCTTGAGTCCCCACAAAACTCAAGGTACCATTTGGCCAAGAGACCTCTATGGAAACTCTTCACTGAATACAGAAATTAATATCCCAGCAGTGTGCTGAGGGTTCCTAGGCAATGCTTCCATCTAACACAGAGATTTTTCTCTTAAAAAAACCCAAACCCAAAACCAATTTTAAAAATCCTCAAAAGACAAAACTTAACAAAAAACCATAAAGTCCTATTACACTGATTTACTGCTGCTTACTTCCTTGAGGGTAGGAGAGAGAGAGGTGCTTACAAATAGTAGCTAGCTGTAAAGTGCTAACTACCACTAATACCTGGCAGTGGGCACAAAGAAGCATTCACACATTCAGCACACAGGGTCCTAACTGTAGCGGAAGTGAAATGTTGACTACAACTAAACGTAGGTAGTTAAATGTGCCCTGGTTAAATGCACGTGCACTGGTTAATGTGAATGCTTCAGGTCAGTGTTGTCTGCCACTCCTCATGCTGCCCTTCTCTCCTCCTACTTAAAAAAAAAATTGAGCTGCTATCCTTGTCTGAGAAATGATGAGTAAGGTAGTAGAAGTGAACAGAGGAATTTACTGCTGCTGTCAATTACAAAACTTGGCACACCCAGCCTGAAGTGACTTGGTTTTAAACCTTTGAGGGCGAACAAACTGAACACAAGCTGAACCAAAGAGAGATTCATGCCTGCAAAATGCATGGGAAATTAATGAATATACAGTAAGCTTCTGATTCTACAGCACCATCAACTAACATCCTACAGAAATGGACCCCATCTCCACTAACGTCCCTGCAATTCAATATGGCGTACTTCAAGATTTTGTCTGAAAATGTTGTACATGTTTAACCAACTACTCCATTCCACTCCCCAGAGATGTTTGCGTATCAGTGGTGGATGAGGTGATCTCCGTTTATAGTTTATACATAAGTTTGTACAGTGCACTGAAAGGCTCTCCAACCCAAACAGCCAATAATAAATTCATTTAAATTGGTTATTTTAATGAGAAGTGCACATTACTATGGAGAAAAGAACATATTGTTGCACAACCTTAAGAAAGGATATCAATACCAGAATTACTTCTGTCCTCTTTTCCAAATAAGCTTATAATCTATCTGGGTAACCACTGGGTATAGAGAGATTCATTTGTCGAGCTTCTTCACTATTGTTCCAGGTGTACGAAGGCAGGTCAATTGCACAGCACTGAGAGCAAACGACCTTCTCCCACAGCAAGCCAAGTCAAAATTACATTTGTGATCACTTTTGATACAGTTATGGTCACCTTAATTTCAAACAGTAAAATAGTAATTGACTGTCATCTTCTCCTTGCAAAGTTAAAAGATATATTGGACAGATTATGAGACTGGAAATTAGCACTGGAAGACTCTATTACCTGAAATCTAAGGATCTCTATGCACTTAGCCTTGCAGATGGTGAAACTGAGAGGCAGAAAAAACAAAAAGCAACTGGCCTAAACTGGAAAAAACTATGGAAGCTGCAAGAGTTTCTAGAAAATCCACTGCTGCTAAGACACAGTCGTTTGCATTTAACCATAGACAATAGAATTTTCTAAATTGCAAACTAAGTAAAAATTGCTCTTCTGGAAAACATGCATGCATCCCTAAATTTTAACATTAGTAGATAGTTCTGACAATCTTTAGTTTCTTATTCTGAAGCCTGTGCACAGAGAAGAACTGCTTGCATTGGAACTAGTAGCATTTTGCTTACCGTTGTGAAATGAACTACGCAATAGATTCCAATGATGACAAGGCCAATGATAATTGATGCAACAGCAACCCAGAGTGCATTGCGACCCAGTCTTTTTGACCCTTCTATATCTCCTTGATTATAACTGTTTAAAGCCTGTAGAAGAGAAACAGAGAGTTTGTGACTTTTTTTAAACAGAAATCTGTACACAAACCAATGTGACTGCTTTGAACTAACATTAAGTTCTGTGCACGTTGGTACTGTAGAAAGGACTTCAGAAAAGGGTGATTTGCCTTGTAAAAGTAAACATCCACTGCCAACAGTCCAAGGTAAGCAGGGAGTCCAGTTTTCTGTTCCACTCATTTTCAGTACATTTCATTGCAACTACAGTTCTTTTATTTTCAATGGTGAGGCTATATTCATATGATGAGTTTTCTTGTACACACCAGTGTAAGAGCTGTCAAATCAACTCTAATCCATCCATTTGCATAAATCAGTGGCTTTTATCTCTGGCAATATTTTTGCAGTATATGTGAACTGTTAGTTGGCCACTTCACTAGCAGTGAAATAAACTCTTACGCTTTATAGGACCATAAGCATGAAAAGGAGCATAAACAGGCTGCATTTTTACAGAAAGTCTCAGGAAAACTTCTTAAAAAAAGCTTACTAATTTCCTATTTTTCCAGTGTTTTACTTTCCAAAACAAACTTTGAAGAATTAATAGGTAGTTTGCTGGTGGTGGAAAGAAAAAACAAAACAAAGAAATATAGATCATCTGAACAAAACATCTGAGTGCCATCTTCAGGGGCTAGAAATTCTGTCCCTTTGCATTTTTGGAACACACTGATAATTATTATCATATACATCCTGAGGCATGCATCAGACATACAGATGATATCTCAACAGACTTGACTTTATCTCTATCCACCCATGATTTAGCAGATACTTTATATTCATTACAAGCAGAGATTGCAAGGTGTGATAGAACCACTCTGATCTTCTAGTCTTTTGTGAGACAGACTGTAGGATTTTCTGAATTAATTTTTGTTAACCAGACCATATTTTTAAAAGAAAAGATTCAGTGAAGGACACTGAAATATTCTAGTACACGAGTCTAACACAGTTTGTCATAACTTTTTCCCAAGAATAAGATGCTATCAAAGAATTTTAAGAAAGAGTATTATTACTAAGAATTATTTTGTAAGATCAGGAGAGTTTGAGTTCATAAACCATGACATTGAGTCCAGATTTCTTTATCAGATTGCACTATTGAACTATCTCAGCATGCTTCCTCAGGGAATCAGGTTAGTCATAATCTGTTCTTCAGTATCTCTAAGTATTCCAGGAAGTATCCCAGAAATGGGAGGTGTGGGGGGTGAAATATGGGGATCTGATCAAATGAACTGTTCTGTGGAGTAAATAATTCCGGTTGTCTTTAGAAAATGACTGCATGAGGTATCACCAACTGCTATTACAAAAGTGTTTTAGTTATGAATCACTTTTTGTAGCAAAGACAGAACAGCTAATTCAACAGACTGAAGTTCTGAGACTGTGGAGAGAAGGAAAGGAATGAACTTCAGAGGATACCAAGCATTGTTGTAGAGCCTTTTTCCCAAGCAGAAAAATAATTAGGGACATTATCTGTGTGTGTTCTGTCAATTAGTGAGCACACAGAAGTTAATGGGCTAGATGCATCCTTGGTGTTAGCACTGCAGTAAGATCACTCGTGCCAAGACAGTCCCAAAGCAATGAAGCCTATATTCCTAGAATTGCATCTCAAGGATAAGTGCAGGTAGTTATTCTCTAGTGTCTAAGAAAGGCTGACCTGCTGACACACTCTTGCCCTTAAAGAGAGCACTGATACATTTTTTTCTCTTCCTGGAAGCCTACGTGCCTAAACATTTCTCTATTTTATTTCCCTAAAGAATATCACTAATACCTCTGCTCTGCTGTCAAATTTCGTTGAGGTTGGCTAGTGGATTAAAGGATGTAGTGGGGAAAGAGGGAAGAGATGAAAATGAGAGACGGACACAAACACATAGTCAAATAGGATGATGCCACCTCTGATTCTCCACCAGTGCGGCCTCCTGTTACAAAGGGTGGCTGGCACAGTTCCTCTCACCTAAGTTACTCCACTGTTTTCAGCAGTCCTGTCTGCAGGAGAAAAGCTTTCTTAGGTTTTCTCAAAATACATTTGGGAAGGCCAATAAAAGGAGTATCAGGAGAAACATGGCTTGGCTTGGTCTTGAGCAGGCTGACTTCTCCTCCTGCCTCTGTCAGCAACTATGAATGTGACTGTGGCTACAGGGAGAAACATGGAGAGGCATCGCTGACACCCCAGCCCTGACTTTGTTCTCCCCACCCATCAAAGGACTCGCTTCCCATGACATCGAGAGTGGTCCTGCAAACACTCTAAACTCAGTTCTCCATACATGCGGTCTCAAGACTGAGACAGAGTTGTAAGCAAGACACGGCAGCACCAGCTTGCAGTACTGTGCAATCTTACTAATGTATTTAGGAAGTCTGGACAATGTCCATGTGATTTCTGCAGGTACTGCATAAATAATTCACCCTGTGCACTTTAATAAATAATGTCATTTTAATACAAATCCATGATGAAGAGGAGGAAAACAGCATTAATGGTAAAGAAGAGGATTTGGGAGAGACAAGAAGGAGACAACAGTTTCTTTATTAAGAGGTTTAAATTAAATGGCATAACTTAGACAGCATTCAAGAAAAAATAAGAGATTTGGGGGAGTGGTTGGGGTCTGATGTAAAGCTCTTTGAAATTCATTTACTTCCGTCTGCTTCAAAGGGCCCTTGGATCAAGCTTCCAGTTTTCAATGTTAGACATAGACAACATTAACTGTTAAAACCTTAAATGTTACATCTGTTTATTTCCACGGGCTAGGCAATATAGGTGCCTGCATCTGCGTGCAACATTTGGTCTGTCCAACTTTTAAAACAAATTTCAGCCATTTTCAACCTAATACCATATGATTTCTCAGGTTTCTGCTACCTCACTCACTATGAAGTCATAAACTAAATTAAAGCCACAGTTCTGCAGCTGCTTATTTACTTGAGCAATCTCAGTGACTTCATCAGGTTCACACACATCTATTTATAAAAGATATTCTCAGTTCAACAATGAAGCAACTTAACCTCATATGAACAGAAATTTGCTGAATTAGCTACAAACTATTAATCATTTTTAATGTGCATTTTCTGTTCCACATTCCCAGAGCACCGTTTATGGCAAAAGCAGAAAGAATACTGAATTACTTCAGAAATCCTCCTCTACATCTCTTACCAATCTGGGCAGACCAGACTGAGGTTCTCCGATCAACATTTTCTATGCTTTCCATGAACCAGGCTGTAACAAACCTTATCTGGTTGTGCCTGGAAATGAAACACTCTCTCTAGTTCAGATCAAAGGAAGAATGAGATATACTGGCTCAGTATGACTCCTCACCGTGAGAACAACTTACAGGGAAGGAGAAGAAGAGGGGCGACTCGGGGAGCAATTCAGAACCAGGCTTGATCTCTGCTTTTTGGCAAATGAAACAGGCAGGTGATGAGCAGGACACAATGAAAGGGGAGTTTGCTCTGCAGGTTGTATAGCAGCATGCAAGCAAACGCTGGACTTCTGTGTCTCTGGGGACAGGTTGAAAGTGGCGTTGCAGAGGAAAAGCTTACCAGTTTGCAAAGATAAGGGCCGTGCAAAAATGCTTAAGAACAGCTGCTGAGCCTTGCTGTTTAATAGTCCTGAAGTAGGTACAGGCTGTCCCATATGGTATTAGATGTCCAGGTACCTACAAGCTACTTAAAAAAAAGCTGTATAAATAATAAACTTTCCAAATAAACTTTCTAACTAAAGAGAAGTACAGCTGTACAGGAACATTGGTCACTATGCTAGTCACTGACCTGACCAAAGCCAACACACTGTACATGGCTCGTTAGGATCCCAATTAGAAGAGGTGACCCCCTCAGAAAGCAAGTTCCATCCTTTGCTGTCCCATGACTTCTACCACCCTCTTGCTCGTTGTCTCTGCTTAAAGAAACTAACATACAGACAAGGCATCTGAATCCAAGGGTAACAAATACAGTTGAACTTGTTACTATCAGAGGCAAATGAGCCAAGACTGTCACAGCTTGACCACATATGTTGTTTGAAACATGCAAATGATTAAACAGAAATATGTCAACATAAAGAGGGAGTTAGGAGCAAACAATCAGGGAGAAATAGCTTTTGAGAGACTGTTTTGGAATTGTTACAAATCTAAGCCCCTATGGAATTAGATGACTAGTCTGACATACGGATCTTTGAAATAAAGACAACTGAAGGTGCTGTACTGAGAAAGGCCAAAGTTTGTTCAACTATCAGACCTCAGTGCTGGTATTAGAAATATCTAAAGGATTCATTTTTCAGAGTTGTCCCACAGCCTCCCTCTAGCTCTGATTCCATGAGTCAGATACAACCAGTCCACCTGAGCCAGTTCTCAGATACAACTGCCAGTTCACTGCCAGGTAAGTGCTCTTCGGGTTCACGATAGGGGGAAAAGACATGACTGCAGATAAGGAGCCAAAGAGCTCAGTGACACACTGCCCAGCCACAGCCTCGCACAAGAGAAGTCTCTTCTGTCTCATGAGCCTCCTGACTTGGTACCTGCACCCCACACTCCTGCCCTTATGCCTGTGGTCTCACCTACGTGAGAAAGAATAAGGAAAGTCTGAGCGAGGCACCTCTGGGGTTGAGTGAGCCAACTAATTGTACAGCAACACAATACAGCTGCTGGAAGCAACAGGAAGCAGGAGAACCGACAGCATCTGGCTGGAACTGCAGAAGAGTACTGAGGAGAACAGTAATCCTACAGCCAGGAGTCCTGGCCAGGACCCTGGGGAAAACAGATCTGCATTTGCCAAAACTGCCAAGCAACCCTCGCACCTGCAGGTGACCAGCAACAAGTTTGAGGGGGCTGCTCTTGTAATGCCAATAATATATCAACACACTGATGCCATTAAGTGTCTGTTCTACTAGCTATCCTCTTACCCCTATCATGAGAAACAGATTTCTTTCACAAAGGAGGTAAGGAACAAGAAAAGGTTATCACCACAATAGGGAGAACTTGGGAGAGGTTGATTCTAAAAATATAGTCGAGGTAAGATCTGAAATGGTAAGGTTTGTGCCTGCAAAGGTGAAAAAGAAGTGAGGAAACCAGTGCTGGAGTTGTAAATGGGGCAGCAGAAGAGACTGTCATTTAATTCGGGGGTGTGTTAGAGCCCAGACTCTACTTTTAGAGTGAAAACATTGTCTGAATTGAGGGCACTTAAGGAGGACATGACACAGGCAAACAGGGTGCTGAACCATGCCCCTCTAGAAGCCAACAGCACTCTTCCTTCCAGGCCCATTCTAGGAAGTGGAAATTTTCTGAAGAACTCCACTTCTATGGGTCTTTCTCTCTTCTGACACAAGATCTCAGGCAAGCTCTGCAGACTATAAAGGTATCTTCTGTAAGAAAAGAAAATAACCCACTTAGCAACTCTAGGAAACAAGCTGAGAAAGAGAGGGAGGATGTAGATCCCGTAAGTAGAAATACTATCAGCATAGGTTAAAACGCAGAACCTGGAGTTCAGGTTAACGGAGCAGTTACGGGTTGCAGCTCTAAAAGGCAGAGGAATCGGGCTGTGGAAAGTAAGTTGGACATGTTATTTTCATGGAAAAGGAGAGGGTTTAGGTAAGAATTATGTTGAAACAGAAGGCATTCACATACAGTGGAGATTATTGTTTTGGTTTTTGTTTCCCCCCTTTAAGGGAGTGGGCAGCTGAGACCTGCACAGACTGTTTAACATTCAGGAAGTGCTCTTCCCACCCTGGTTTCTACATATCCCCTGGTGACAGTTACTTAAGCCTGACTCCAAAAGCCTGCATGAACTTCAACTAGGGTGTGGGTGGAGATTTCTCCATATGGGGTGCAAAAATCTTTAGAGGCCAAATTCTGTCCTTGACAGTTAACTTCTGTGCAGCCCCACTGCTTTGGCGAAAGCACTGTCACAGTGAACAGATGCTCACAGCCCCAGATCATCAGCTCTCATTACTTTATATAGCACCATAAGTGTCCGCAGACAGAAAGGATGCTGGGTACCAGCACAACCAAATCTTCTCAAATGAAGGAAAAGAGCATATTGTGTAGTTAAGTTAACAACAAAGAAAATAAATGTGGAAAAAAATAAAATGACAGCTAATACTTATCTGGACAAAAAAGGTTGTGAAGATGGCTTTGGAATAGCTCCTTTAAGTGCTTTTCAAGCTTAAGCACGTATCCCGACATTCAGGTGTGATTTCTGATCAATCTTACTAGTTTTAAAAGTGTGCGCTTTAGTATATTTTTAGATATATGTAATTATCCTTATACTTAATTGCAAAAAGAAACAACTATATTTTTACTTACCTTTTCAGCCTGGCTGTCAGAGAAAAGGATGAAAACACACAACATGTTTTAAACCCTTTTCAGCTCCTAAACAACAGAAATACATTGCAGTATTACTGATTACACTGATCATGTATCCTATTAGAAAAGTCTGGATCTAACTCTGCAACTTTTAACTCAGAGAAGATTCTGTTCTAACAATCCCTTTGAAGGTAACAGGATTGCTAGATTATTAAGGACTATGCAAATCAATTGTAGGAGTGAGGCTGCTCTCTCAGTATACTCGATACTCAATTTTATAAGGGTTTTTGCCAACAACCTACAATCATTATTGTTGTGTGTATTATTCTAGGCAATGGTTAGTATCAGGCTAAAGAATCTGTTTACTGGAAAAAAGGCACTTCTATCATATTTGATTAGCTGAAGTAGAAACCACATCTGCTCCTTTGCAAATCTGATTTCTGCTTCCCAGTTGCCACTTTCACACATAGATACGATGTCCAATTCAGTGTGCGAGTTAGTTGATGTAACAAATCCCATTAATTGGGATAAACCTCCCTCCCTTATACAGCCTAATATTGAAAACTTGTTTTCAACTGCCTTTCACTCCACGTTTAATATCTGCTGCTGGGATAGCTAAGTGGACACCCTGACTGAGCTGCTGATGCTCTCAGGCTCGCTGCCTCACCTAACTGTCCACACACGCCAGGGACAAGGGGTTAAAAAGGCGGCTGGATGCCCCTTACCCTGACGGCTCCTCCAGCCCCGCTTTGCTCCTGCAGGTCCCGGCCGGGAGCGCCGCGGCTGGGGGCCGGGCCGGCGCGGAGAGCCGGAGGTCGCCCCGCCAAACACCCAGCCCCAAGCCGAAGGTCGCTTGGGCACCCGGCGGGGGTGCTACTCACCATGACGGCGAAGACGAAGGCGACGATGTTGACGGGATAGGCGGGACAGAAGCAGGCGAGGATGCTGAGGAGCAGGTAGTTCTTGGGCCGCGGCTGCGGCGGCCCGGCGGGGAGCTCATCCTCGATGTTGGTCTCGGGGCTGTTCTCCAGAGCCCTCTTGATGTCGGCACCGGCGGGGAGCGCGGACATGGGGCTGCGGTGCGGCGAGCGAGCGGCTCGGAAAGCCCAGCGCCGCGCACCGGGCAGGCGTGA